ACAATTGATGTGTTACAATTGTAATAATGGTGCAAATAAACAGGGTCTCAAAATAATATTGGGTAATCAAATTCAACAGCAAATGTTCTATGGAAAATGCTAAGATATAAAATAATAGCTGTTGCTCGCGACTTCGCCCGCGTGAAATTAAAAAATAATTAAAATCATAACTCATGTTCCTCACTGATAATGTACCTTTTTAATGAGGAAAGAATTTCCGAAATCGGCCCAGTAGTTTTTGACTTATTACAATACACACAAAAATATAAAGATTTCATCTTTATAACATTAGTATAGATAGTATAGAAGTATAGATGGACAACCACCAAATTCTAGTTAAGTTTTATTGGTAAATTCCAAATTTTCCACGATAGATTTTTATAGTTAGTTACGGGTTTTGCTTCTGCTTTCTACATGTTATTCTATACATATACCTCCTATACATGCTCCCTACTAGAATAGGGATCTATAATAGAATACTTGTATAGGCTTAGTTGACCGTCCGCGCCAGAACCGGTCCACTTAAAATAATATTATTGACGTGGGCAAGGGCACAACAGCGCCTGGCCGTTTGCACGAAGTCTTGTCGTCTTGTGGTTTTTACTAGAAACACTATCAAAAGTTTTGACTAAGAAACTCAATACAAGGAAAATGTTACGGACATCGATATTTGACGAGAATGTCAACGATTTAGTAGTAATGTTGCTCACTCATGATCTGTACTAATATTATAAAGAGGAAAACTTTGTTTATTTGATTGTAATGAATAGGCTCAAAAACTATTGGAACGATTTTAAAAATTCTTTCACCGTTACAAAGTTATTAATCTGTGAGGCTAAACTATATTTTTTCATTTCTTTCTTATTATTTTTAAATTTGACGCAGATGAAATCGGGGTCAAAAGCTAGAAAACATATAAATTCTTATTTGATAGTACGGATGGCAAATTTTAATTTCAATTTAATTATGGGAAAATTTGAAAAATGTAACTGTGAAAGGTTTCTACTTTTTGCCGACATGTTTATGTAGAAAAATGTGGAAAAGTTTTATGGTTAGATTACAAAGGTAATCGGGAGTTTTCAATAACTTTTTAATTTTTTGCTTAGAATAGGATATAGATGTCATAACATACGTAAAGTCGCAACGGTTACTCATAATATAAGATGTCAATGTTGGCAACTCTGAATTAAATACAGGTAGTTTCTTTGACCTCATTAATTTCCAATGAATCATACGGAAGTATGTTATTTCTCGGAAATTCATTATCCGGTTTTTGCATCAGACATTTCTTACTTCAAATCACACTTTACTTAAATTAAACTTGGCATACTTTATCATAATCATCATCAGCTTGATTCAATGGGAATAAGCTTTCTCAATAACTTGTATTTCTCAACAAATTGGAGTGTCTGTTTGTAATATCAAAGGAAAAATTCCGATTTCGGGAAGATGCTTTGCGTTGCTAATAACGAATATCACATTTAAAATATTTTTGTCTGTCCGTCCAGCAAGTTTGTTCCGGGTAATTTTCGAAATAGCTGGACCGATTTCGACTGGGCTTTCACTGAAGGGTGAGAGATGGACATATTATAGGCTACTTTTTTATCTTAATATTGTGTGTACGAAGTCGCGAGTAACTGCTAGTTTTTAAATATTAATGAAAAGCAGGGAGTTTCTCTAAAAATACTAAGTATTTATTGGTTCAGTATGTCAAATGTTTATCAAATGCTATGATTCAATTTCGTTAGTAAGAAACTTGTTTGCCCATCATTTAAATATCTTCCTTTCTACGTATACTTCCAATATTTGATTTTTTATTACTTAGCTGAATAACGTACATAGTTCACAATTTACAAATATATAGTGTTCTTTTGTTTTGTTAAGATTTGTTTTTTGTAAATCAATTTAGCTTAATTTAAATATCTCAAAGCTTAGGTTGGATGTAATTACCAGTTAGTACATTTATCAATAACAATTTAGTGAATTGTATTTCTATACCACTAAAAGCCATACACATTCAGACACAACGCCCTTTTACTTGGATTTCAACAGCGCAGTACTTTGTACTTTACGTAGGCGGGAGTGGCACAAACGCCTTTGTGAACATTTGACATCAAAAAGGTTTTATTCATTCACACAACTATGATTAAATGTTTGTTATCGCACGTACAAAAGACTTTACTGTAATTTTGGTAATTAAAAAAAAACTTAAATCTTTTTGGTTTTATTTCATACCAGTTTGATTTTTGCAGTCTTTACCAATCATTACTTGGTCACTGACATTTGATGCAAATTAAATGTCTCCTCAATGTCTTTATTCATTACTTTTAATATCAAAAGGCAAATTTTAATAATAAAATTAACATTCTTTTAAACAAGTTTTCGTCTCTTAATTATGGCAAATTACACGTTTTATAAAGAATTTGTGAATCGAGATTTGTAATGATCCGGCTGTTGGAGTTGGCACTTGAATTGGTGCCAAAGATAACCAGCAACGATGAGAAAAAAATTGAAATGTTATACATTAAATTTACAAAAACGCAAAACTTTATCTTATTGTGATGCGTTCTTACATCAATTTCTACTATATCAATGTTAGTACTTGGAAGCGTTTAAATTGAAACGAATTGTAACGAAACAAACTCATAATGTCCAGAGCAAAAACTGTATGAATATGCTGACAATACCAAACTAATTGTGGGCGTTCGATGTTTTTGTTGCGTTCTAAATTTAAATAAATTTTCATTTTCGTCCTTCAAAGTTTAAATTTCGAATGCTTTGGTGTGATCAAAGTAAAAAGAACTTATCATAAACAACGTGAGATTTATATATTTTCGTGCTATTTTTTATACATGCCTTATTCAACGACTCACTAAACTATTAGTGAATCAATTTTCTAGATATGTTTTTATTATCTACATTCCGAGATGTAATTTCCAACCTTGGCTTTATTATAATTCTTTTGTTATCCATTCATCTGCGTGTTTTACGTCAAGAACGATTGACGTAAAGTTATTTTTTCATAGATTATAAGCGTTCGTGCTTAATAATGAAATATTAATAAATATTTTTAATATACGTTCACATTGCGTATGAATTTCCAAACTTTTGACAGTTTTTTTTCTTTTACGGCATCTGGATTTATCTAAAATTAATGATAAAATTTCTAAAATATCTCCAACATGCTGCGGAGAAAGCGGGTTCAAATTGCTTGACCGTCGTTACTTCTCGACATCCTAGTAGGTTAATATGCTCGTAAAATCTTGTTATTATTTACCTACAACATGGTGTTTTGGTGTATCGAATGTATATGTTTTAAATCGTAAATACTTAAATTTCGATGTTTGTTGTAATTTAAAAAAATTAAAACGCTCCATATATAATTCTTATCATAATTGTTAAAACAATAAAAACACTAATCGCTTCATTAACGCAATCCAATATTTATGTAACAACGTCACTGTCATCAGTTATAAGACGGCTTGCTTTTTTCTTTTTGCCGTTTTATCGTGTGCCAGTGTTTTGACCTTTTTTGAAACAATTAGAGGAGTAAACACGATGGCCTGTGCTAGTGACCTCCTTGCGGAAGGCACTGCGGATGGGGCGAGTGAGACTGGTCGGGTGAGTTGCCACGGCCGCGACATTGAACCTCCATACGCGATCGGGCGATGCACCGTGTCGCAGCCTCTTTGTTTATGTACGAGTCTATCGAAAGTCCTTCAAGATTTCAAACGATAGAAGTACACGCCCCTCATTATCATTATAATGTACTTTTTGTGGTAAAGTCAGAACCTAGTCGACTACGGCCGTTATTATCGGAGATACTTAAGTTTATGCAGCATCTGTCGATTATAATTTTTTTTTAAATATTTTAGTTTACTGTTACTTAGTAACTGTTAGCGTGTTATTTGTCATTATCAAAAAACAACTATACATTTTATCAGAAAATATTTTTTTTTATTTCCAGCGTTATTAAATCTCGTTTACCTATCATTTATTTTCCTTGAATTAGTTTAGTATTTATATAATAAAGTCACTAGGTTCGTTACATTAAAATTATTTTATAACCTTTAAGTGTCCATTACAGACTGTTTGTTTATTTTTTACTCAACGGGTGATAGGTACCTATCTACTTTTCTATTCCATGAACTAATTTAAATTATTTTTATTTCATACTATTATTGAACTTGTACAATTTTATACACCAAAATAGTTGATGAAATCCTTACATGGGCCCATCGTTTAATATTTTACTCGTATCTTATTTATGACAGCTCAATTCGTCCCTGCTTTTACTAGGAACTGCGTCATAGTGGTCACCATATGCAAATATATTGACAGACTAATGCATCTTACATTGACACATAACGCTGAATCCACTAGATTTCCTGAAATATGGGGTTCTAGGTGACGTAAAGACGGACGCCCGCGCTTTCAGCGGCGCCTGCGCCGGACCCATTTTAGGACATGACTAACGGAAATTCGACTCCCATCTCTCCGGCCCGCTCGCTCCCGCGGGACGCGATATGCTGTCGTCCCGCTCACTCCTAAAGCTCTAAGAAATCTTTTAATAGTGTCCACGGCCGCGATCTACTTTCAACTAGCGGCGGGAAATGTGTAATGTCGATTTTAAATTGTACACTATGCGCGCGTTTTTTAAATTAATAAACAAAAAACTAACATTTCCTATGTTAAAATGTATGGAAAGCGATAAAACTTAAATAAATATTTGTCAAACACATAGCATAATTTTTACGTAGCTACTTTAGTAATTTCTAATAAGATATCTCTGATGACATTAAATTCTTCAAATCATGTTTTTATTTGTACCATTTAATTGCTTGACTGTACTCGATACATAGCAGAAAAATGTTTAGGAACGTGAGTCACGACAACGATAAGGTAACATTGCCTTTATTTTATCGTAAATTTGCATGTGAATTTTTGAAACGGTTCGGTTTCGGCTGTCTAACATTTAGTTTGTCAACTTATCAACTGACCTTTTTCTGTTGCTTCTCCCATGCCGGGTCTAGGAGACCCTCGCGCTCCCACTCCTCCTCCTGTTCCATGTACCCGTCCCCATACACCCCGTCATAGTTATTTGTTATCACCCCGTTGTCCATCATCATGGTCACCGCACTGACCGTCGAATTCGATGTTCGTTCGAGCCTATGACCGCGAACTCGAGTGTGTTAGTTCGCACCGCGCACTGCAACAAGCAGCCGGCCACACGCCCGCTGCGAGACGACTGGCGCGCAAGCGCTCCCCGCGGCAGCGTTCGAAACTACGAGCATTACGTTCCGTTACAGCGTTCCTAACTGTCAAATGTCATATAAAGATCGACTTATTTTTTATCTGTGTTAACTGTACGTCTAATAATATAGAAGTCTGTCGCACAGGATATACTTAAAAAACTTACATTTATTTATAGGAGAATCAACTATCAATTACTTTTCTTACTTTAACTTATGGTGTATACACATGTATTATCTGCTTATAATGGAAAATTTCTAGGCTTTTTGGAACGTAACGTGACATCACTACATTTTCAGTTACGATTATTCTCATATTTATTATTATAAATTAGGATAACTCAATTTGTGTTTTTTAATGATTATTGTGTTTTTCATTAATTATTATATTATTGTTCTTAATACGTTTTTTACCAGTCATAAGTTTTTATTGGAACAAACCTTACTTTAAACACATACATTTATGTACTCATTTTTTGTATCTACCCGCAGTGTGTCAATATAAATCTAGAAAGCATAGAAAATAAAACAATCGAAAAGTACACAAAAAAATGTATTCACCACATAAATGTTCATTGAATAATAATCTTGCTCACGCAAAATAACAGTTACATTTTATAATTTTCTTGACATTATCTGAAGATACCACATTTATCATACTTATAGCAACATACACAATCACAGGAAGGTTAAAATTTTGGAATAGAAAAGTTTTATTCAACTGTTTAAGAGCTTGACACATTTGGTGTTACTACTTTAACCTATTAGAAGTACAAATATGAGTATTGCATACATCAACTGAGAGGGTAACTACTACACATATAATACAAACGGTGGAGCTTTAAATGGTTTAAAGTCGATAAATACTTCGTTATACACAAATGGGTTTCTTAATTCTTACTGGCCAGTGATAATTTCTCCAAGCTTTGAGCAAATATATTAAAATCAAATCTCAAAAAACATCCATCTTTCAAAAATAGAAGAACTTCCCTTCTATATTTTCACAAGTATAAAATTTTACAGATATTTTTTTCAATCCACAATTATAGAAACATTTTAGGCTTATTTAATACCTATTTAAAAGAGTTCATTTTGATTTGTGGTCACTTTAAATAAGACAATTTATTCAATATATATTTTGAAAGTCCCAACATTTATATATTTATTTTTATATTATTTAATTTTTTACATATAAATAAACAGTAAGAAAAAGAATGATTAAATACATTTGTAAATATAGCAGGTATAAAAGTAGAAAGCTATAAGAATCGATGAAAAGGTAAGATATATATTTTATTTAGGAAAAATTAATTACAAGTTTACTCATAATAATTGTTAATTCTCCTGTAATTACAATTATGTAATTATATTCTTGCGTGCAAGTTTAAGACATTAGTTTATATTTTCGGTTATACAAGAAATATGAATAATACATATTAAAAAAAAACATACAATTTTATACTCTATGTATAATCTTCGTAACAATTTTTTGTGTATCTGAAGTTGGCTATAAGTAGCGCTGACACATCAGATGTAAGACAATCTTTCTCTCTTCTTCATCTGGCTTTTGTGTATATGTTCGTCCCGCTCTTTTCCTATTCGCACTACTATTTCGGGAGCTAACTTCAGGCAGTCGTTAATAAGTAAACAAGTCTGCTTACGAAAAATAAAATATACAGAAATACTAATGGATGTTGATTATTTATAAACCTTTCCTTTTCAAACTGTTTTCTGAGGGTTTTGGTAATAAAATGTTATTACTTCAAATTCAACGTTAAATTGAAATTGAAAATGCTGTTAAAGTTTAAATTTTCAAAGGAACGTGTTACTGGTAAGATTGCTAAGGATTATTTATTTTAAATTATAGATAGATACAAGAAAACTAGAGGAAGACAGTTTTGAATAAGACAAGAATATACACTTTATGTAATAAAAACGTTTCGCAGATAGTTTTAATAAACATACATTATCTCTACAAATAATCACTATAAATTATACATCGTACTTTTTTTTCGTTTTTTGTTAGATTTTTATTTTTTTAATTCAAACATTAATAATTTAAAGGTTATTTTATTAACTAACATTTAGAACTCGCTTATGTAGCTGTATTCAGTCGCTTTATAGAAAACATTGAATCTGTTTTAGTCTTGGGGCTTATTTCAATAATCGTGTCTTTAAAAAGTCTGCATCATACACAACATTATTTGGATTATTCTTGCAATATTTATTCAAAAGAATATTAATGTAACCTTTTATATAATTTTAATAGAAGTGTATTTAAACAAAAATCTCTTTCATAAGAAAACAATTATATTAACACTCATATTAACCAGTTATGATACACAAGTCTTTCTTAAATCTTTATAACTTGGATCACAATGTAACGGCGACTATACATCAAGGTACAAACAGCTACGGGTCAATACATCCGCCAGACTAAGTACACATTATCGCAAATTTCAGTACCAAAAATAGAGATGATTATACTGAACACGTCTAGCTAGATGTAAAAAATATATAGGTATCAATGAACAACAACAAGGATTAGGTATCCGAGAAGTGTACAAATATTTCTCGCACCTCTACTACATACATATAACAATAATACTTTCCAACGCGTCAACGTACTGCAATATAAGAATCCGATCCGATCTCTTGTCATATATCTAATACTCTGGTATCTCACAGCTTTAAATTCCATAGTCAAAACTTTCAAACTCGGAGAATCTCGAGTCTTGTTTCTGTAAGCGCTGTTGGCACGCCTCTATATAACTGTCCTGAATCCTGTACATTCCCGAATTCGCTTGGTACATCAATGTTTCCAAAATACGTTCGTTCTTTATCGCCTTCGACGGTAGAACCACTTTTATCAATTCCTGCGGTGAGATCCTGTAAAGTTTTAGATCTCTAGCTAACCTCTCCATGATGGTTTTAAATTCATTTTTGGCGTCAGTCTTGTTTGCGGATTTGGATTTGATTTTATTTCTCGCCCAACTCAGCATTGCTTCAAATTTTCTAACCTCCGGTACTTCGAGGTTTCGGCACATGATCATTTGGACCATAGATTCGGATAGATTTAGAAATTCAGATGTTTGGAACAAGGCGTAGGCTCTTTGTTCGATGAACGCCAATATCATGTTGACCAGTTCAGATGCTGATGTGTAACGCCAGTAATAATTTTCCAAAGATATCAACATCGTACAAACCTATAACAAACAGTAAAACGCACATCAGGCTATTGGATTGATATTTAAATAGAGAAATTTTGCAAAGTTGTAGCTAGAAGTAAAATAGAGCATAGAAGCAAAACCGAGTTGTTCCTTAGGGTTTGAGTCAAGTTCAGAGAAGGTTAAGTGAAGAGCTTTTAAACTTTGTTACGAACCCTTGAACGCCGTCATTAAAACAAGCACCCTTCTGAGTTCTAAAGCCCAAAGCATTGTATCATATCCAAAAAAATCTATGGAACTAATAACTCATTTAGAGGGGCAAAAATAGTACTTACGACTTCTATCCTAAGGAATTGTTTGGCGTGGTGGAAGCAAGCCTGCAGCAGTTCAGGCAGGTCGTAGTGCTCCGCGGCACAGATGAGGCCGGGTATAGAGGCACAGGTCAGAGGACAGCTGCCCGTGTGCAGATAGTCAAGCAGTATGCGGAATGTTTCTGGATCGAATTCTATTATGGAGAACTGAAAATAAAAATGATATTTTATATTTTAAACGTTACTCGCTTCTTATCAATTCTCTGTCTGTTTAGGGTCTATTCAGTTATTTTATTCTACATTCTCCCTTCTATTTGTTCATTAAATGAAATTTAAAGAAAAGTACTGCAGTGTGGGAATAAAAACAATATCTTGTGGTATTCTATCGCATTAAATTTATAGGTTTACCATAAAAGTGTTTACGGTAGTTGGATAATAAAGCCGTATGTAGGAGAGAAATATCACCTCGGTTTGAGCGAGCTTGGCGCGGTCGACTTTTTGTGCGTCCGCGCACACCGACAGTCTTGGCACTGCTAACGCCGCATTCTTTTCTTTCTCCTTATCTTTACTCTCCTTATCTGCAAATAAAATTGTTTTAATCGCTTTGTTTTTGCAGACAAATTGAACTTTTTTGTGGACAAATTTAACATTTTGGCCGTGTTCTTTATTGTCCATAAGTGTCTCATGTGATGCTTTAAACAAAAAAGTTATGGACGTAATTGGTCGTTGGTTTGTAAATATATTGATTTTGGTATCACAGTGTGCGTCTGTTATGGGTTCACATATTGATATTAATAAAACATGGTCATTGATATTTCTAATAGCTTTTTTTATTTCCTAAGGATTTCATTTTATTGTAAGTAAAAGAAATTAATGTAATCTAAGCATTTTAAGCATAATAATCTCCAGTAAACATATGGTAGTTATAAACTCGAATTAGGAGTATCATAAATTAGAATTTAGTGTTATTTATTGTGTCTCAGAACACGAACTTGCGTATGACAATAGTAAAAATGTAACTACTTGTTTTTGTCCCTGGCAGCGTCGTTTGCGCATCTAATGCAATGGAAGAGTGCCAAGAGCAGAGCTAGGTGTTTTTTAAACCGTCCACACTTCTATTGACAAATGCCCTTGTTATAATGTGAATGAATTTCAATGTTAAATATTTTCTTATTTATTTCTATGCTAAGGTCGATTTGAAATTAAGATTATAGCGTTTTGAAAGTAAAAATTTGGTTAAGTGGCAGGTTAGGTATTTAGATTAGTCAAGTGGGCATAATGATAATGAAGTCTGATGTGTGTAGTGTGTACTTACTGGAGCAGTCCTGTGAGCTAGCCCATTTCTTCTTGTCGTCAGCATTGAGTTGTGAGTGCTGTTTACGGATGGAGCGGCCCCAGCCCGCTGTGATCGTGCCCAGCCGCGAGAACGCGCGTTTCACCATCGGGGAACTGGGCACGCTTTTCGGTCTGTGTTTACACCATACATTATTACTCGTTTACTTAATTCTATCAAACTTATTTTGTGAAAAATATGTAAAAAGGCAATAACCTTGTAATGTATAGGAAGCTAATGCATACCAGAAATATTTTGGTAATTACGATAGATTTAGCGAAATTTGTAGTTTGTTTAATCTATGTCGCAAAACTGCTGTGCGATTGTCAATTGTTTCGCAGCCAATTCAACTGTTTAGTTGCACAACTAAAAATCGAGAAGTGTGAACACCTCCATATAAACTCATAGGAATCAAAGCGATAGTTTACCCAAAGGTGTTCGCTCGCTTTTATAATTAAGGGATTGGAATAGAATGGAAGAGAGTTATAATATATTTTTTAACAGTCAATGTTATAAATAAAAAAGAAAGAATTGAATATGGCGTCACACTTTGAATGCTTGATCAAAAGGATAACGTGTGCGAACCTTTAAATTCTTTTTAGTCCTGTTTGTTTATGATAATTAAGCATCTGGCACTTTGAACGTGCAAACTCTTCCAAGAAACTTGGACATTGTTTATGAATCCCACTTTTTAATTTATTATTGGACACTTCATTGAAGGAGCAATTAAAATATTTTTGAATTTGATAATCGATAGCTGTAAGTTATACTAGAAAAGAATCTTTAAAAAACAATTTTAGAGTCATGAATAACATGTATCTATCTCGTCACTTTCCTTTCGTATGCTGACTTACCTTGGTGACTCAATATCAGGGACTTGTAGGAAGTTGCTGCTCTTCTGTCGCGCGGGTGTAGGTGATAGCAGCGTGGGCGCTGGACGGGCCAACAGCTCCGCCACCGGCACTTGCGGGGAACCGAACCCAGTCTGAATTCCGTACAACATCTCTTGGAATACCCTGTAAATACAATGTTACTGCTACAACATACTGGCACACAGAGTCGACTAATAATACCTAAAAAATTCCATAGTATAGATTTGTTAATAAATATACCAAAGAGATTCAAGAAATATATAGAGGAAGCATAGTTGACACTTCACTTTAAGCCTTTTTCAAATAATCTCACTAGCGCTACCTGGAGTCCTGTAGTCGAAATCATAAACAAAAAATTGAAACACAGAAGCGTCTAGGCATGTCAAATTTGACATTGAGATGTTACTGTACAAAGAAGTTTCCAATGAAAAAATGTTGTTCCCTATGTCTAATCTACATATAAATTTCTTAAATATCTTTGAAAGATACACTAAAGTTTTTTGTGCTTACCGACTTCTCACGCCCAGTATAGCACGAACTCCGATAAACTTGGTCTTCTGCTTGGACTGTCCGACAAGGAAGACGACGTCAAACAGCTGCGCGTTCTGCGCGATGTTCAGCTCGTTGTTGAGGAACACGCGAGTAAAGTCCTTCGCCAGCTGGTCGTAGTCCTCGAACTGATCTCTGACGGAATCCAGTAGAGGAGACGAAGGTCGCATATGACCTATTGGTCGCCATGAACCTGAAAAGATATACGTTTACATTATTTTAGTGCTTGTGACTAAAAAAAAAGAAAAATACTCTAACTGTGACATCTGGAAATCGTATTAGAAACATATTTCAAAATTCAAATTTAAAAATTTTATGATAAAAAAAACAAATCCATAACTCTTTCGTCTCATATTTATTTTTCGTTTACGTTGTTTTATTTAAGCATATAACAAAGCATCAAGGCATATAAAACGATGAAAGGATTATAGTATTTAAAAAACTTCATGGTCACAGTATAGTTGAAAGTTAGTTTATTCCAAGTTTTCGCAGTATCAAAAGTTTGGTAATAGATTTTACCTCTCCTGTATGGTTTGGGTATCTGTCCGGTCTCGGCGTGGTTCTGCAGGTTAGCTACAATATCCTCCAGCATCTGACTGCGCGTGCGCTCCTGCATGCGTGCGAACTTCGGCGCAGAGTACGAAGCACGCTCGCCGTTCACTATCTTTGTTAGGAGCCATTCCCTGAAGAAGATAAAGAAAAGATTTAAATATTATTGTACTGTATTTTAACGTAAGATGACCCTTACAATTTTTTTTATTATATGGACCATTTCGGTATTAAAATATTATATTGATTCAATTCGTGTTTATCCTCACCACAAAATCGATGTAACCCAAATGAAAATATAATTAAACGGAGTAATAAGGGCTATCAAAAATAATTACGTTATAAACGAACCTGAACATAGGGCCCTTGTCAAACACACTCTGCTCCCACAAATAGGGCTTGTATGCGCCGACCTCATCCCGCGTAACGACCGACACTTCATACCGCGTCGGACGCCTCTTGATCTTTGCCGATACTCTCACTGAAAGAAAAAATGAAAAGCCATTCAAGTACACATTTCACACTTCCTTCCTCCAGTCTTTTGTGTTCATAACAGGGTTATTTCCACAAGGGTTCAACGAAGGGTTAATTATCTGAAGTACACATAGAAACTAAGAGAGATACTTGGATATCTAACCTAGCGTTTTGGACAGCACATATACATATAAGAACAAGGTGATACTTGTGATTTCGTCTACGTGAAATTTGAAAACATAGCTCATTTACTCAGCGACAACGTAGCTCTCTAATGATGAAAGAATTTTTTAAATTCGAGCAGTAGTTTTTGGATTATTTTAATACATACATACATATTTTTGTAAAATCTTTCCTTTATAATAGTAGTATAGATTATAAAATTCAAAATTAATATTGCACCTGACAAACACTTACCTAAAATAAAAGTGTGTAAGAAGTGACTCTTGATACAAGCTGGGGAGAAGGCAGTATTGTCAGCTTCTAAGAACACGACGCAAACAATATCATTCCCGATGTGCCGCTTTCTTTGCAGCTTCTGCGGGTCATGTCGCTCATACGGCAGCAGTGTAGACACGTGGAACATGATCTCAATGCCACGCCAGTTGGTGTACACCGAGTACAAACCAGTCAGATCGTGCACCGTGTCTAGACCGCCTTTGTATTTGTCGAACCCTGAAATCGTAGTTGATTAGATTCCATTGAGGGATTTAAAGATTTCATCTTCATCTTCCAATCCTTTTCCATACGGTGGGTGTTTATCATCCAATCTTGTAGTATTTAGAATATATCTTACTAATCTTACTAATACTATGAATGCGAAAGTTTAGATGGATGGATGTTTGTTAGAGTTTGTAACCTAAACGGCTGAACAGATCTCAATTAAACTTGGCATAGACGTTCAGGATAATCTGGATGAACACATAGGCTGCTCAGTTTTGTTTTTCTTTTAAATTCCACACGGACGAAGTTGTGGTCGAAAGCTAGTGACTAGTTACATTTTGTTTCTTGATTTGGATGATTTTAAAAGAATGAAAACGTGAAAACGTGGAATACAAAAATAAGCTTCTTGCGTCTGAATATTTTTAAATATCGCTTATCCTGTCTTTCCCGGATTTTTAAAATATTAAAGCTAATGTTCTTTTGGGAAAAGGTTTATGATAGACAGATCCGTAATACTGATCCCTTACATTTATAAACATGGCAGACGCCGAACAAATTTGTACAAGAATTTTGTTGAAAGCAAGTAAATAAACTTCGTTTTTTTTTGTGTGAATAAATAACGAATAAGTGTATTGAGTATTTGTTAGTCATAAATTTTTTTAACATTTTATTTATTTGTCTTACCTTTTAAGCGAACTTTCTCTCCTAATACTTGTAGGAATTCTTCGAACATAGGAGAGTTCTCGTTATTGTCCAATATTTCTTCCTCCGTGTACTGATTTTCTTTGACATAGATCACACCCACTTTTAGTTCCGATTTTATGAAGACCTGAAACAAATAATAGTTATGAAGGTTTTCCAAATATAGATGCTTTTTTCATCGTTATGCAAATATCTCCAACAGCCAAAATCGTTTAATGCTCCTTTACCATAAATATATCTTATAATCTGCTCCAAGATGCTTTATTAGTTCCTATTATTTTTTATTTTTATTATTATTTATTTATGGTATCTAGTCTGTTGTTATGAAATTTAAAATGACTTCCACTAATTTCATTTTTTGAGGAATTCAACGATTTACTGCGTGGCAGTTATTTCCATACCTATGCTATCGTTAACGACCATACCATACGAGACGTATGTGTTGTTTATTTTTAAAACTGAAATATTGGCATATTGAAAATGTTAATAATACCGCCATCTATTTGTAGATAGCATTGGTGCTGTAATTTCATATAATAATAGCCGGCGAAATAATTTGTTAGGAAGCAATCTATTCTCGTATCGCTTCGTCAATCAATCTGTAATATGTAACAGTCTCATAACGTTAGTAATGCGCGCAGGATGTCGATGTCGAGTTAGCAAAGTCAAATTCACAAAGCGTTTTATCTAAAAGTTAAAATGTTTCTAAAATATTTTATGCTAAATATCTATAACTAGGTAGATGTTATATTGCGATTTAAATTTTTGAAATAGACGACTGCTGTTATTTCTTTTTTTTATATCATAAGGTAGCAAACATGCAACCGGCCAATTGAAACCGCCGAAATGGCGTACACCGCTGCCCATAGACTTAATCGACGGTGGAAGGAGACGCACATAAAGAGGATATTTCCTATTCCTATGCGTCTCCTCTACCGTAAAATCTAATTTTCCTTCCCATCCGTCCCTCTAAGGAAAAGGGTGGGAAGGAAAAGGGACCAAAATTAGGGCTCCGGCACCACACTCATCAGACGAAACGCGGAATTGCTCCCACTTCACGGCTGTTTTCTGTGTGGTCGTGGTATTTCACCGGGCGAGCCGGTTCATTCGTGCGAAGATGTTAAAGCGGGCTCTAGCACTGTTAAATTTCTACTTATGTATTTCTACTACTGTATATTTTCTACTTAAAGAAAATACACAATTGTTTAAACTGAGTTTTAGTCGGTTTCGAAAGTTTCGATTTCATTCGATGTTGTTCACTTCACTTTTTTCAGAGAGTTCATTTTAATAAAGGCACATCACTACGCTTTCCGTGAGCTAAGGAGCTTCGGTCGTATATTATCTTCCCATCTCAGGTCTCACGGCGCAGTATCGTGTCTCCGACGACCTATAAATTGTAACATAATGTATGCAGATAGATTATTATTTGTATTTTTATTGGCAAATATTTAAGAATGTAAAATATTAAGTGTATTATTTCAAAATGAGGTATACAGCATCATACAGTATCAATGAATTTGAAGGTAATAATAAACATTTATTAAAGAGGATTACTATCATAGCCAATAAAGAACGATATAACCTACCTATATAACCTAAAATATGGAGCATAAGTTCAACGAAACAATGTTTAATCAATCAGATTCATTATTTTTAAAAGCACCATAGCACTTATTGGACATGACCGAAAAATATTAGATACACTTTAATCCCCCTTCCATTCGTATCCGAATTTAAAACCGTATTTGTTTTATTAAATACGAAACAGAGCGAAGTAATAAACGCTGTATCAATTTACTGTTGACATTTCAATTTTCGAGCTGAAAAGCTAATATACATTTCCCGTAAAGAGAATAACCGTGACACGACAATCCACTTAGAAGTCAAATCTATGTAAGCTAAGGTATTATAAATTTCAGTCGGGGAAAGTAAATTATCGTGCTGTCACATTTGTAGAATATACAAACACGCATAGGCTATATTTAGGCTGTTTATGACAAAATTTATTGGCAACACCAAGAGCTACCTCCCACCGCCCTAGAGAATCAAAAAACGTAAAATACTTATAAAAATTACTCCGAATAAGACCATATTAATAGTTGCTCACCCCTCGTATTGGTAAAATGTATAATTATAAAAAAGGTTGTTGTATTAGCCTTACGTTTCTATAACCTATTTCTTTTTTTTACATAAAAAAAACCAGCGCTTGACCACGATTCCACCTAAACTAAGTGAAGACGCGGTCAAAGAATAGAGTTGAGGAACGAAATAGAAAATTCTAAAATTCGTACAAATCTGTCGCTTCTACATTCATATATTCTTAAATTCTTGAAATTCAAAAGATTATATCACTAAAAGTTGTACCTTTACACCAAAATGTGCTAAGAAAAGATCTGAAGACATTTCAAAATAGATACTTTCTTAAAAGAAACAGAAAAACGACGTAAATATAAGTTAATCCGAGCATGAATGATGATGTTAGACAAATCTTAAAAGCAACACCCTTTTGATGGAAGTTGATATGTATTTTGTTCACATTTTCTTGCTTTCGACTTGAGTTTTTTGGAAGTTCGGTGAAAATCTTTTTATTAAAAACACTCGAAGAACAGAATTTCTTTACCTAAGGTAACTTTCGAGCTAACAGTGTCACGATTGTTTAGATAGTAGGTAGATTACAAAACAAAACCCCGTTACGTCTGATGAGAATACGTTTTACGGCCTTCCGCCTAATAAAGTAGACATAAAAGAGCTCCTAGGCCAGCGCCCAGGACTACTTTTTATATCTCCTATATTGCTTTATTAGGAACACTCCGCGAGCATTAAAACATTAATGTTGCTTTATACTAGCTGATGGTGCATTAGCTTAATGTATAAATACGGAATTATGACGTCATTTTGCTAACGTTCCATTTTCAAAATTACAGAAAAATCTCTTTCTTTAAAAAAAACAGATAAATAAATATGAAGCTTTAGGCGTTTGTAGTTTATTAACTTTTTAATTCTAAGTTAAAGTTTAGAAACATTGCTCAAAGGCTTAAAAATTTTTGTATAAATGTTAAGTTGTTCGTATAAATTATTGAGTCGAGTCGTGGAAAATGTACTACGATTTTGGAAGTTAATACTTTATTTAATTTATATTTCGGTGGAAGTTTACGAGGACAGAGACAAGGCCCCGTTAAGCTTCGATGTAAGTAATCCACTTTGAGTGAAATTTACATAAAGTTTGCTATCGGTAATTTCACGCAAAGTAATTAAATTCTATAATAATTTACGCTAACTTGTTCTTCAATCGTAAATAAATAGAAATGTTTTTACAGCTCGGTTATTTAGGCTTGGAAGATAAAAACGGAGAGCCATAACTATAAAATAAATAACTAAAATGCATTATTATTTTTAAAATATTGAAAAAGATAACCATACTTTTATGAGTAGAATTTGATTTATTTAATAAAATATTTATTAAACTTACGCACAATAATTTTGTATACATTTTGTAAATTGATTGCTGTCTAAAGTATTTTTTAAGTAATATGCTATTTAGTATAAAGCCAAACGTATTAACACAAGTTACCCCCCAAAATAATTGAGAAATTTTCTTTACCCATTATCGTTGAACCCTTTAATGTAATATCAAAGTCCGTATCGATTACATCACATTGTGACTTGCGTAGACAAAGGATAATGTAATCTACACCCATGCTATTAAGTTTAAATTAGGATAAACATCTTAAGTACAGAATAGAGCCGCAGGTAAACAAAGACGATGTATTTGCCGCAACCACATGTTGGATTAAAGAAATTGGATAGTCTTAAAGATTTATTGACACTTAATCAAAGTTACATAAATAAATAACAAAACTCGTTTTATCTACTCTTCAATGTAGGGGAATAAATTAGAGAAGAAATTATGCAGACAAGACAATGAGCTTTTTAGCGCTTGATTTTCAGTCAAGATGAGAAAATTATGTTATTTTTAGTTGTAATTATAAGAAGTGGCTAAAGTTAATATACGAGTATATCTCTGTAAAAAGCATGTTAAAAGTTAAAGTTGAAAGGCTTAATTTGAGACGGGTATGCATCAGTGTTGTGAAAACGTTAAAACGATGAATGGAAATGAGTGACAAAGCAAATTTTTAGTTAAAAGTTAATGTATATAATCTCGCAACAAAATTATGCTATAAACCGTGCAGAACATGAACTTTCAAAACTTAGTGCAACTTAAGAATTGAAGTTCTGAAGTGTTAAACGCCTGATAAAATTTATCTGCATTATAACATTAACTTGTTATTTTGCTTTTATTTTTAACTAGGTGCTTAAAGAAAATTGCCTTTTGCTCATTACAGATGCAGCTTGATCGACTGTGAATAACAAAGATAGTTAAATTCGAAAAACGACTTCTATCCAATGTAAAACAGAAAGAACAGTCGCCACTGGCGCCACCTTCTATTATCCGGTTTTACTACATGAAGTAAGTATTAAAGATAAAATTAAATGTGTTATGGTCAGCGTATGGAATACAAATTTTTATATTTACTTATACATATTCAGGAGAGTTGTTCTACATTTTAAGATAATGTATAAAATAAATGTACACAAGTTACAAAAGCTTTTATATTTAAAGCTAACATTGTCAAGTCTCTTTGTCTGTTAAAAACGTTATTTAATTCAATTCCATTTCCTCGGATTAACTCTCACATGTAAGCCGTATTCATGAAAACCAACGTAACAACGAATACAAAATGCAGAGGACGGACGCAACGTACACCCGACAAAGTTCGTACCTCTGATGTTACCTAATGAAGATTGGCAGCCCACCGGATCGAACGAACCTGGCTTTATTATGATGTTTGGCAAAAATAAACCTTATAAGGTATGTTACGATTCGCTAAATTTGCTTGCTCGAGAAAGTGCGAGAACATTTTGGGGCGAGCATATTACGTTTATTGAAAGTCGCGTTGTTGACGGGCAAAATGGAAAACTCATTCGCTGAATTACATTTACATTTAGTTTCAACAGAAAGGATTTGGAATATTCATATTGTAACATTGTGCACAGACACTGCTTTAATTAATTCTACATTATTATACTATTTTTATACATACTTATCACGTTCCAAAATAATTTACTAATGAACAATTCTGATTATTACTTTCATAGAATAGTGTATAATAAAATAGCAAAGATAATATTGCCTAATGTTATTGTAATTAATTCTCATTACCAAAAAGTCTTTTAGTAGTTTAGATGCCAGAGGGGTTATAATATTCATGAAAGAGTTTTCTTAACGTTATTAAAAAAAATTACATTAGATTGATTTGTTCTCGTTAATTTCGTGATAAGCTATACTATTAAAACCACTTCTAATCCGACTTTCGAACGTAAACGTAAGCAAATAGAAACAATTTAAGTATTCACTGAGACATGTTACTTGTAGTTCTCGGGAAGTGCAAAGTTCTTGTCTCAAGAGTAGTTTCGTATCTAACTTGTCATTAGTTCATTACTGTGATTAGCTACGGTGGGATGGAGAGAAGAGGGCTCAGGGAGAGTGGGCCGAGGGCCGCCCACCTTGCGACTAACGGCACTCATTAATGTTTCACGACTGTGAGCGGCGGCATCGTTTATTCGTAATTGGGGAACTGAAAAAACAATCGCATCGGAGAGGTCTCTGCTAATTTACTCGCTCCAAGTTCTCCATCCCGAAGTTTTCTCTCGAATGTTTAATGAGATGAGACGCTGAATCTCGTTGGATCAGTAAACTTACTCTTTCGTGTTACGTTTATACATAGCAAATTATTCCGCAATTAAAATTAAATATTCAACGGCTCGGAATCAAATCGGCGTAAATCTGCGGTTACGAGCCTCTTAGACGACGTGATTTTTATACATGAATAGATTCTTAAGATTTAGATCACGATTTTGTTTCATTAAGAAATACGGAAAATATTTTTTTAGGTTAGACAGAGCTGTTATGCTCCGTTCCTTATTTTAGGTGCTTCTAATTTTGATATTATTGTTACATCTTGAAAAAAAAAAAAACTAATGTTAATCAGTTATTACTTAAAAATGTTTTATGTTGGGTTTCTGAAATTCCCACTTATTTTGTCATTACCTCGCGATTAATTGGTGTTAGGTTGTATGTTTCAATGGAGTAGACTTTAGTTACGTAGTTCGAAAATGCATTTCATGAATTTATCGAACCGTTAAAAGTGGTTGGGAAACCGGTCATTGGTGCATTATTTTGATACGTTACGTTATCACAGGTTCAGTTACCTGGTCGAGCTTGAGCAGTTCCTCTGGTGTGTCAGGCAGTTGGCCTAGCATAAGCGGAGGGTTGATGTTGACCTCCTTTCCCAGCGATCGCACAACCTCCTCGCGGTTGTAGCGGTCCGCGAACACGCATGATGCCGGGATCAGACCGTGCACAGTGTAGCTTATAGCGCGCACCAAGATTCTGGAAACAACATTTAAAATTAGATTTATTTTCTTATACATTGTGAGACTACACCATTCTATTAAGAATCATGTTAAGTTCAACTTGCTTATTTTTTTTTAAAACACAACAAACGAACAAGGGGCCACCTGAGTGCGTCTTAATCGACGGAGGAGGTGACGCACGTCAACAAGATATTTTCCCTTCCTATGCGTCTCTTCCACCATCAAATCCATTTACCTTCCTATCCTTCCATCTTAAGCAAGGGTGGAAAAGGGAAAGGGAGTTAAATTAGTCATTAGATTATTTGGCAACTTTCCTATGGAACACATAGTAATCTGTTATTCTGTGTTCATTAGTTTTTTTAAAGGTCTTCATATTAAATAACCATCTATCTATACTATTATAATAAAGCGTAAACACACACTTCTTTGTTGCCCAAGATTTCAGCAATTACAGCATATTTTTGAATAATTCTTTTTTTAATATTATATCATAAAAAGCCCTACACTTACGTCACGCTTTAGGCTATATATTTTCATGCCATTAAACTTAGGGGGTAAACATTTTGGATAAAAACCCTAATGTGGGAAAGAGACCATAAGTTGTTGCCAAAATCAAGGAAGCAAGATTGCCAAGGTTTGTCATGTCATGTCATTTTGACATTTTCTATTGATAATATGACAATAGTAGACAATAACATAAAATTTTCATAATTTCATGCGGACGAAGCCGCACGGGAACGGCTAGTATGTACATAAAGATGGTTAACTGTTTAAAAACACATGCAGTTTGAATAGAAGGTGGGGAATAACACCAAGGGTAATAAAAGCAATAATGTCAGGAAGTGTACACGATAGATTGATGGGTATTAAATTAGTCTAATTGAAATGGCATCCACTAAAGCGAGACGAGCTTTTCGTTTACATTCACTTCCAATTTAACGTGTAAAAGGGTTACAGCAATGTAACAGTCTATGTATACATCGAAAGCGGATCACAAATGAGGTCGCCATGAAATGGGCCACGGTCAAACAATCTGGTCAAGTAGGCCAAGTGTGAATTGGTTACTATAGTTTTTTGTATGTTAACGCGCTTAGTCCGTCACTAATTACTTTATTAAATGACTGATGGGTTCGAAATAAAGGTCCGCTAAGACTGATACTTCGGTAATCCACGAAGATTAAACCCTAAGTTTATAAAGGTATATTATTACATTTTTGGATTAAAAATAAATTGGATTAAAAGAAATATAAATCGTCCAAATTCAGTATCACCTAGAAACATCAAATTCAAAAACCCTTATGACGAAGCTAAAAATAACTTGTATACACAAATATACCTTTTCTGGTTTTGTTAATGGCAAAGTTTAATTTTAATAAAAACGATCTGACTTCCACAGATTAACGTCTGTCACAGAGGCGTCAAATTTTGATTAAAACTGAGACGTTTATTGTGTTTTAATTAAATTTGTTTTGTCGTATATTAAGGAAACCTCCCTTAAACAGTCATTTCCATTTATTCGTAAATTGTATTTAGAAATATGCTTAAGCAATAAACAAGCGTTTCATTTTAAAAAATATTGTTATACTCGTATCTATACTATTATAATAAAGCGTAAACACACACTTTGTTGCCTAAGATCTCAGCAATTACAGCATGTTTTTGAATAATTCTTTTTTTAATAAAAAGCCCTACACCTACGTCACGCTTTAGGCTATATATTTTCACGCTATTAAACTTAGGGGCTAAATAATTTGGATATAAACCCTAATGTGGAAAGAGACCATAAGTTGCTGCCAATATCAAGTATGTAAGATTGCAAAGGTTTGTCATGTCATGTCATTTTGACATTTGCAATTGATAAATAACAAATGTAAATAATAAAATAAAATTTTCATAATTTCACGCGGATGAAGCCGCACGGGAACAGCTAGTAAGGAATAAAAAAATTTAATACCTGATTATTAGGAAAACAAAGTTGTAAAAAGTATAGTTGATTTCAGAAATAAACTCTTAATAGACTAGAATTTCCAAATATCCGTTGATAAACTAAGGTCGTATTTACTTCCAATGCAATTTAAACTTGTCGATCGTGTAATGTTTTTAATTAAATTCATTCTTTGTCCGGGCGTTCTCTTCCTATGACAGAGTGTAATGAAAATACCCGTATTCAACGAAACGTCTGGAATCTTACAGAAGCAGATCATTCCTCCGCTAAAGGGAATTTTTGTGAACAATAGACGACTGTGATTATACATTAAGTTCAGCTGGTTTTTAACTGGTTTAATTAGTATTGACAAACTTGTCTATACTAATATTATAAAGAGGAAAACTTTGTTTGATTGTAATGAATAGGCTCAAAAACTACTGGGCCGATTTTAAAAATTCTTTCACCGTTAGAAAGGTAATTTATATGTGAGTAACGTAGGCCTTATTTTATTATTTTTAAATTTCATGACGACGGCGTCGCGGGCAAAAGCTAGTACAAAATAAAGAATTAATCAATCATAACTATTTTATTCAGTGAGTTATTTTATCACACGCTTGTGAGCTAATAGTATTCCAAAAGTTAAGTAAAATCATTATAAAATAAGCATAACTAGATTTTGCCCATGACTCCGTCCCTGTGGAATTAAACAAAAGTAACTAGTCTATGCGTTCTTTAAGCCTTTCCTCTACATATATGCCAAATTTAATCGAGTTTAAACTCTAACAAACATCCATTCATTCATTTCACATTTATATTATTAGCCCAATTGATGATACAAAACTGTTAAGGTAATTATAATGACTTGTTTTAATTGAATTTGACTATACACGAAAGTTCACTTAAACCAGAATTGAAACACTGCATCTATACATATCTCTTGTCACGTCTTCGTCAGCTTTGCGTCCGTAATATCGACATTATTTATTCATATTCCCAAATGTGCCGCTCTTGTAGGCCCGAAGTGTCGGGATTTATGAGGCACATTAAAATAAAACACGTAGGGGCCTTTTAAAATTATTTTTCGCGACTCAATGGAACTGATTAGTTACGTGGCGTTTTTACAAACTTTTAAGTAACTTTTTACATATTAAAAAGATGTTATGTTCAGAAAGTACTTAATCATAAACAAGGGTTAAAATTTCGGTACTCAAAGGTATTTACTGTAATAATAATTTTCTACACACAAATATTTCCCCAAAGGCAGTACGGCAACGGCATTAGGAATTTGCAGAGTTGTTAATAACTAGAGAGCGTTCCTTGTTGATTTAAACGCCAACTCCCAATGGACCGAAATGGACTTGGTAAACTCGCGAAGCGTACATGAATCAAAGCTAATACAGGAAGCTAAATGTTTTCTGTAATTGTATGTACATAGTAAAATGTTTTAATCCAAATACATTTTATTTAGAGAACCGAATAGTAAATATTAAAGACTAGCTAGATTTCGATTCCGTCTGAAATCAGACTATCCTCTACGTCTATGGCAAATTTCATCTAAATCCCTTCAGCAGTTTAAGCCATCAGACTCGATCCATTCGTCTAAATTTTTATAATATAAAATAAGTAAGATAGATTTCTACGAACAAAGTTATAACATAGACCAAATAAACAAAAAAACATCAACACTCACCGCCATGAAAACAAAATTCGAACGTTATCAAACAAATAAATCTTGTGAAGGAAATGAAGACCGCAATTCGGAGTGACAGAAGGAGGACGGCGTTGAGTGACGGCAAAGTTTACAGCTGGTCACCACATTATGCTAATTGAATTCTCTTTTGCGACGTGTGCGACGACCGGTATCGTCATTTTCCACGGTAATTTTCATAGTGGTAAATAAAGGAGTTGATTGAAACTACTAAATGTTGATGACCCAAATGTTACTTTATATATGAATATTAATACTAGCTGTTGCTCATAACTACGTCCGCGTGATATTAAAAAAAATAAAAGTAACCTATATTACTCAGTGGTACAGTACTTTCGGAGTTATTTAAATATATATAAAAATACAAATCTCTCCTCTTAATGATATTAGCATAAAGTATAGAGTATAGATAACGTAGTAACTTAATAAGGTATTATTTAACAGTTTAGTTGTCATCTGAAATATTTTGTTCTCAATATCGTAAGGATCGATGTCGAATATCAGTGAAATACTAATTTAACAATCGTTTGATTAAATTCCATTCTCCAATTGGTTTATATTATTCGATCGAGTACAATAGTCTAAATGACACTTTAATTATGAATACTAAGTCCTTCTATAGATATTCAATGTCAATTAAATGTTAATCAAGTTATTTAGAATATACAGATAATTGGTAATCTAAAATATCATGTGACAACATAAACTACGAACTGGTCACTTACAGAGAAGTTTGAGTGTAATTTGATGACTTACCTATTAATCTATTCACTAAGGATGTTCCTTAATGTATGTTTAGATATAAAGTCTTAGTACGAGAAAATGATTGAGAAATCTAGTAATTTAGTTCAATTTATATTAAACTTAAATGTAGTCATTATTAAGGTTTAAAACTTGCTGCCCTATGACATATACCTGAATTGATCACGAGAGTTCAATGTTTCTTGCTTGATAGACAATATAACTGGTCCGAGATCTTCATCATTGGTGAAATAGTTCCAATGTTCTGTGCCATAGAAGTACTTTTCGTATGTCTCCTGTTCTACCGACGTGAGTTCGAATCCGCCAGATCTCTCCCATTGTTCTTCAATCGCGGTTTTCTTCTTAGGCGTGCTGCCGCCATTGTCGCTGCTATCTTCTGCAGCTTCGTCCAGCGATCCTGATGTTCTACGACGTTCTAGAACAAATATTTTTTATATTAAACAATAAATATGTATTTAAGAACCATTCATCATTCTGGAAGTTTCTATCAGTTCAATCATGTTTGTACTCGTTTTATGGGAATTTTATAGAGTAAATTTTGAGTAGTTAAATTCTAGAACAATTCGTAATAAACTGTTTCATATCGCAAACATTTTATGCGGACATGTTTGAAATTTTAATTTCAATTTATAAATTAGATATGGTCGCGAGAATAGCAAAAAGGGAGTTCATTTAGTTCAGCATGTTGGAGTCGCGTTGCAAAAAAAGTTCGTTCCGAATATAAAAACAAAAGCGCATTTAAAAAATTCAGATACATTCTTGGAACGTGGATTAACTTTTTCAATTTAAACTACAAAATGTTGTTGGACATAGGTAAATTATAATTCTCTGTAGAAATCTATTTCTCTGAAATCTTGTATGCTTCGCGTGATCTCGAGAGCCTTGTGGTTCTCCGATAGTATTGAAAGCGTAGTTCCCCTTTGACGCTTTGTAATGTGACACAGCTTAGCTCTGTCAATAGTTACACAACTATTTGCAATATACTATTCACTATATATCAGTATATGCACAGATAATAAAATCCTATTTTAGATAGTAATATTATTATTACAAAATGTACAAAAAAAATGTACAAATACAAATAAAACTAAAGTATTGCCTTATTCCTAGAATTTAATACAAATCGAAGAAAAGAATAGCTATGCCTTTACGAAGATACTCAACAATGCTTGTTCCTTAGAAAACATTATTAAAATTGTTGTGAAATCTGGCTTTACATATCTAATTTTGTATAAGGGTTGAATTTCAACTCAACCGTGTTTTGTGAGAAGCAGGTTATCAGTCGGTCCGTCCGACGTTATAAAGCCGCCCTTACATAACCTTTGTTTTGTACTGATAAACAGTGCCCACTTTGCTAATATTACGAAAAATAATTTGGTTAATAAAATTTTGTCGAAAGATTTGTCTTTACGATAAAATTAACGAGCATTAATGTGTTGAAAAAATCTACATATAACATTTTTAATACGAATAGCAACTTTGAAAAGTCAAAAAGGGAAATCATATTGAAGATATGAAAATGTACACAATTGTAATGCAAATTTATTTTTCATTGTCTGTTAACAGATACGAAAATACGCGAGCTATTTGAGTGAAACGGGAACAATGAATAAATGAAGAAGTGTTATTTTACAAAAGGAAAACAGTCAGTTCGTATTTACAAGTGTCTGCACTCTAGTCGTCGTCAGTTAGGAGTCGGAAGAAGTTATTAAAATGTCATCGTTGTTTCGCGAAAATATTCATGTTTATTTCCTTATAATTTATTTTGACAAAAAAAAATGTCCATTTCACTTTTTTAATAATAAGCACTCACGTTCATTTTAAATTCATGAACGTACTCATAAGATAGATATATTATTTTCAGGACATTTGATTCTTCATCTTTACTGATATGAAATGGTCAGCAAATCACAATAAGTAATATAATTTTTAATTTTGTAGTTAACGCGAAATTTAAGAAAAAAACATAACGTTTGCGTCCTTGTATGTTATAGATTTTAAAGTCCCCTTTTTGTGTTGTAGCCAGACAGCATTATGATATGTAAATTCGTAGTTGTGGCCAGTCTCGACCATAATATTTGTCACTATCCATTCAATAACTCAAAGCTCCGGCTTTGAAATACAATATGGCTTAACAAGCAACGTCTATCCAAAAGGATTTCTATTGGCTTTGAAACGTGTTAGTGAGATGCGACCAAAGAGGATGCAACTGTTGCCTTACTTTGAAATGTTCTCCAGACGTTGCTTTAAAGGTTATATTTTCTGGCAACTTAGATTATCTTCTAGAATATTCGTTTCATTTAGTTACTATGTATTTTTGAGTTACTAGAGATAATTTAAAATTTGCGGTTGCTTGCATACTAACTGTGTTATACCATATTCCAATTAAAATTTTGTAATTAACTTCAAACTGTTCCCACGCATATTAAACTAATAAAATACAAAACCAACATGTTCCCGCCAACGAACCAGACAGAAAAACAACAAAGATCCTACGATTCCAGAAATAGCGCGCGCTAAATATAGAGTAAAATATATTTTTCTTTAACCTCGCCCATTTACCTCATTTCAACGGGAAAATGAAGATTTATGTTCTATTTTTAATAAAATTTTACTGGCAATTTGTAATATGAAAATGAATTATCCGAGAGACGAAAAGATCGTTCACCTGATACGTATCGCTCATAATAATTCAATACTGTCTGGAATTTTATTATAAAAATAGTATGGCAATGACTTTTTAGTAACAAGTCTGGGAATTTTATCATTGTTAACGTTTATTGGCGTTTAATATTGAGGCCACTAGACACTAGATAATAATTTTAAAAATCTAAAGAAGTAATACAAGTAATACAAGTGTGTATTATCGCTAAGGAATTGCATAGCTGTAAGGAAATATAAATATTTTAAGTGGTCGGAGTCGTTTGCGATGAGGCGACGCGTTGTCGGGCGCCGCGGCAAATCACAAGATTGCCTTGAAATCTTGCACGAGCTCAGTGTATTTTACTTCGAATAGTTTGAAAAGCCATAGATGTAAAATAAACCTATCCTAATCAATATTTACTACAAGCATACCATGCTTATTATGACATTTTTTTTTAAATTTAGTTCAAGTTAATTTTTTTGTAATTTCTTTTTGTTATTAAAATATTATTAGATATTTGTTAATTTACTAATATTTCCTTTAACCATTCCAATTAAGGTCTAGGCTTGTGCATATGGTTCACAACAATAGTCGAATGGCGGGATTCGAACCCTCGACCGCAAGATCGGTAGTCTGTAACCCAAACCATTAGGCTGTTGGCGCTTAAATTGAAAATAGTATTGTAGTAACTCATTAAGATTAAATTTTAGTAACAAATTATTTAACTGATAAATTAATTTGTAAAACATCTATTACATTTACAAAGTAAACGGAATGAAAAGGAAATGTTTTTACAAAGGAAAGTAACTTAATTCTATCTAGTTGGATCTATAGTGACTGGGAGACGCTGGCCACCACTCGGAATGAGTTATTAAAACGACTTTGCTGCACTAAATTGAGTTTGAAAGCAGATTTTTAATATCGTTCACTTTAAATTTTTTTGTAGTGCGAGCTTTGCTTAGAGGTGAAGCACCTGGATCTAGTAATTGAAATAAGAAACTTTATTATACTGTCGTAAACTATTTTTATGTTTGTTTTTGATAGTAAAGGTGCATTTTACAATTACATTTTCTTTTTTGATAATTTTGTGTTATTCTCCAGACAGTCCCTATATATTTTACGAGTATACACCTAAGTTAAGTGAAAATGTTGAGTCTTTCTTTTAAATTCAATTCAACTTTTATAAAGACAAAATAAAATGGCAACTAGAACAATACCGTACTTTGCCATGAGATGCTTGAGATTTACTTGCTTCATTTACTCTATGCATGACTTTTTAATACACAAAAAAGTTATAAGTTACTTTTGAGTGTAGAAGGGTACATCGGTAGAGGTAGACCTAGAAAGACCTGGATTGCGTATAAGGTGATATGATCAAAAAGGGAGTGATGACTGAGATGACGTATATGATAGAGTAATGTGGAGGACAAAAACCTCTTGCGCGGATCCTACGGGTGTAAGATATGGAGAAAGACGAGGATGAAAAAAGGTTATCTAGTTTAATAAAATACTTTAAAGATAAAAATCCGCTTAAAAGTCTTAGCGCTATTTTTTAAATAAGAAATGGCTCTGCTAGCAAATATCTCACAAACGTTAGAATTCTGTAAAAGCAAAACGTTTAAGAACTTTATCTCGACTGTACAAGTCTAAATTAGCAAAATTTATGCTTTCAGCCTACGGCAGTTTACACTTTGGAGCGCTCAAACATACCTACGACAAAAACACCTTTTAAAATGTTAGGGTTAGAAATATTTTAAGTGAAAAACATTTTTCACTATATTATTTATTATTATGATATATGATAAAAAAATAAATCATGTAATTACATTTACTACAATAATGGATTAGATGCTCTAATGAATCTACATAGCATTTATTCTAGGTCCGAAATCGCATGGTCACTTTTCTAACGCGCGTCTAAAAAGCATTCTAATAAAACAAATGCATTTCCCAGTATCTGTTCACAATGCAGTTTGTTCAAACCGTGACGTTTTTTATCGTCCGAATTATTGCACTTTGAGCGCTAGGCGAACGGAATAACAGTGACTTAAAAACCTTCGTCGCTTACGATAGGTCAACGTTGAATTTCAGCGCGGCGTAAAAAAAACGCAGGAACGAATGAGGGCTAAAGTATGATGTACAAGTGTGGAAAATAGAATACTGTGGTCACATTATATTTTCTGCCATCTCTTTAACTAATAAAACTGTCTCCCTTATTAATAATTGAAGTTAATAATTTAGATTTTTATCATCGAGTGCTTAGAGGAAATGTGATTACAGTATAGACGCTGGCACCGAGCGGTACAATTATTGTAATTGACAACGTGATGAGCGTTCGCAATTAGTGACCTATTATTGTACGAGCTGGCATCTCTATGAATAAACGTGATAACGTATCGCATATATCTGCTATTGAAAGATTCATGTCAATGATATGGCAACATTTTTTTGAAACATATTTATTTTTTATAAGAGAAGGGAGAACACTAATGAGATCTACGACGCCTATGGACATCCGCAATATAAGAAGTACTACAGATGCATTACCGGTTTTAAGAAAATACATACGCAGGCTTATTGGAGGTGATCTGAATGGTCTCCTTACTAAAAGTAATTGACACTAGGGGGCGCCGATTAATATCTGAATCTACATTAAGAGGCCGCTTAATTAAACACTAATGGTTCCGAGTATGAGTTAAACTTTACTAGGGTATTTAGGTATGTTTTGGATAAGGATTTACAAATATGTATACTTCTATACTATTATAATAAAGCGTAAACACACACTTCTTTGTTGCCTAAGATATCAGCAATCACAGCATATTTTCGAATAACCCTTTTTTTTTAATAAAAAACCCTACACTTACGTCATGCTTTAGGCTATATATTTTCACGCTGTTCAACTTAGGGGTAAATATTTTGGATAAAAACCCTAACGTGGGAAAGAGACCATAGGTTGTTACCAGCATCAAGGAGGCAAGGTTGCCATGGTTTGACATGTCATGTCATTTTGACATTTGCAATTGATAATTTGACAAATGCAAATAATACATTTATAATTTCATGCGGATGAAACCACACGTGAACAGCTAGTATAATAATAAAACTTAAAGCATTGTACATTCCGTAATGACCCTTGTCGGCATCGTTTACACACAACTGGAAAATGTACATGCGAAATGAGATGAATTTAAGGTCAAGAGTCGTGTTCTACCTTTTGCATGAATAATGCGTAAAGGTATGGCGTAGAAAAATGTCTCGAGCGTCGCAATAACACATAGCTAGTCTAAGTTTATCTAAATAATAAATGTTTAGTCCGGGAATTGTTCTTTCAAGAGAAACAGTTATAGTAATGAACCAAAACAATTTGTTAGTTTACATTCACTACGGCAAAATAAATCTTTAAAATGTCGATTTTAAAAAATGAAATGACGATCGATAAATTGATCCTAACCTTGAAAATACTGTGCAAAGTTATTTTCTCTGTAAATTAATTATTCTACAATAACTTCTTATTGTTAGAATACAATAACTATCTTAGAATTTCAATAATTATAACTTTGATAGACAATATATTTGTTAGTCATATTTGCTAAGGCATTTTATAGTCACAAAATCAATAATCAGTACTCTAGGGACGTGAAAATTTTTAACTACGTCAGTATTTGGTATAGATTAAATACGTGATCGGAATCAGCAAAGTCCGATGAACATAATATTTGTAGTTGGAGAGAGTGTTCGCACAGTCCATTAAACTTCTCTCTGATCAAACTGATTCGGATAACAAGATATTCTGTTAAAGAATTTCCCGATCGAGTCCCAAACCTACGTTATTAGAATAAGAAATAAACTTACTAATTCCTTTTTCTCGTAGAATTGAATAGAATTGACTTTTAGTGAACAATTTATTTTACGATACCAGAAATTGTGACGCAATCATCGGTGTATCATATGAAAGAAAAAATAAAATGTTTAAAACCCCTGGAGTGATTGCTTAACAAATTTTGAGTTAGTAATAAATTTCTGTAAAAAATTTTGTCGAGTTTCAAAGTGCGTTTGTAGGCAAAAACAATTTGGGCCCATTTAAACAATACGATAACTGTCTCTTTGTCGTAGTCGATCAGAGACGTTTTCAATTTAATAGGCTTACGAAACTTTTGTTCCACAGACCTATTAAAATGGATATTATTTTATCATTACAATTTTCATATAAAATATTTAAACAACAACAAAAATGTATATAAAATCAATGTTTGCATATCCTATGCGGTGTTAAACTACTATACAAGAAGGTGGCGAAACAATGTGTTAAGTTATTGCTCGCGACTTCGTCCGTGCGAAATAGATATATTATAAAAAATGCGTGCATGCGTGATAGCAGTTAAATAATTAGTTCTAACAATGTCTCAAAAAACATTAAATCATTTAATATTTATCTTGGTTGGATCTCTATCTGTGATGGCAATTAAGTACTCAATGTTCGGTATATTTTGGTTGACACCACTCACCAGTTTCGTTGTTCTGATCCGGGCTATCGTGTTCCGACTCCGACTCGTCCCAGATAGTGTCTGTGGCAATCTTCTGCCGCGAACACTCAATCCAGTAGCCCGGCGTCGGGATCAGGCTGTGCGGATACTCCTCGCAGAATTCATCTGAAAGATACCATGGTTTTAGGACTATGTTATTTTTTTTATTCGTAAAAAAGATAGAAGTACTCTCTGCGCTATTCTTGACACTGTATCTGCATTTATCACTTAAATCTATCTTAAAACAACTGTTAATATATTTCCAAGTGTTAAAATCTATTTATAGCAAACACATATAAGGTATTTTAGCACTAGCGTATACTGGCTACGTATATTCGATATAAAATATTGAGTGGTATTCGCGGACATTCACCAGTGGAGTTGAAAGTGCCACGTACGTTTACAGATGCATTTCTACATGACACGAAAACTTTTACTGAATAATTCATGTTAGTAAAACGCTACGAAGTGAAACATCATTTTATAAACTCTGATATTTTAATATTAAATATGTTCCTACCCTACAGACTCAAGGTATTTTTTCGCGCGTATTTATTTATGTAGGGTGCGTAAATTGTAGATTTATGACTAAACTATGATGAGTGCATTTCGATTTGCATTTTTTTTCTATACTATTATAATAAAGCGTAAAGACACACTTCTTTGTTGCCTAAGATATCAACAGTTACAACACATTTTTAAATAATAATTTTTTTTAATAAAAAGCCCTACACTTACGTCACGCTTTAGGCTATATATTCACGCCATTAAATTCAGGGGGTAAATGTTTTGGATAAAAAACCTTAATGTGGGAAAGAGACCATAAGTTTCTGCCAATCTAAGCAAGATTGTCAAGGTTTGTCATGTCATGTCATTTTGACATTTTCTATTGATAATTTGACAAATGTAAATAATCAAAAAAAATCATAATTTCATGCGGATGAAGCCGCACGGGAGCAGCTAGTCTATCATAAGGGTCAATGGTTTTTCCTTGTGAGTTTTGTTAACGAATTTGTATTATTTTTATATAGATTGATTGATATTTTATTTCATTTCTTCCAGATGAATGATGACTTCATAGGAACTGCAGGAAGTCGCTGGCTGACTGTGCAAGACATAGGCCTTACCCAAAACCTTCTTTGTATGAAGACTTTGTGGAAGGCCTATGACCAGCAGTGAACTGATGTTGGATGATGTTGCTCGACATGTTTCTTATAGGTGCTAGTGTATTATTGCTATTTACCAAAATAAAAAAAAATAAACTATTTTTAAAATGTTTAACTATCGTATAATTTTTAACTGATATACCATATTTAAATAAATAATTAAGTAAACGTAAAGTAACAGTTTTAAATGTGTCTTCTTAATATCTTCTTTGTTGATGATTCGAGAAGCGCGATCCACTGTAAGGTAGAACACCAAACTTTGTTCAATATGCTTGGCGTTCATACTTAGAGTGAACCGAACATCTCTATCTTCTCTCTTCTTTCTTCTTATTGATTCTTCTTTCTTCCAAGTTAGAATAGATCTTAATGATTAAATTGAATTAAAAAATTACAGCCAATTGAAAAGATATGTTGATTTTACTTTCCCTTTAATATTATTTATAAATATGTTGATAACATTGAAGTGACAATTGTTACTTAAAAAAAAACTTAGTTCTTATCTTTAACTTATTTAACTCAAATTAAAACTTTGCAAAAATTGTGTAAGCGAATTAACGTATCATATGAGTATGTCTTTGAATATAAAGCGTGATGTATTTGTGACGACGAATATCTATTTTTTTTATACAGTGTGTCCCTTTGGCTATTGTAAATGTCATTTATTTTTAATAATAAATCGTCACTGACCCACACAACGGTGCTATTATTAAAACGCACAAAGGCAATATTAATTTCCGCTTCGTGTAATAGGGTTTTCATTTATATTCCTGCGATAGGATATTACTTGTGTAAAAGATTTTGTAAATCATATCGGGTAAAAATACTTTTTACGTAGTTTGTAACCCTATCGTAATGTCTATTATATTTTATGTCTTAAGATGCAAGCTCTATGCTAGGGAGAACGTAGGGTTGAATATCTGCCGTCGAGAACCGAAATACTTCGAAGAAAATCATTTAATGCTGCCAAAATTAAACCTAGAACTTCAGGTAGTAATGCATGTGTCTTAATAACTCATAATAAAAATATTTCTAACTTAATAAATATTACTTTAATTATAAAAATATAATTTTAATATAAAAACATTGGTAGATAATGCATTGAATCAATGATAATATATACTAACAAGATTTTAACAAAGAAAAGGTGATGGGAGATAAAATCCGTTTGTTTCTTTCATAACTAAACTTCGAATCAAATATCCACGTGAAACGGAATTCGCCCGCGTTTTCAGTTTTTTTTTATAAGCTGCGTGCTTTATCATTTCACGTGAAGGCTTAATTAATATTTCCCTGTGTGTTTTGGCTCCCGGCGAATGCAAAGCTTTCGAAGCTTTTGTGGATTTTAATTTGATATCGCCGTTCTACCAGCTCGCTCGGTTTTACATTGAAATAAAATATCTGATTTTTTGAATACAGTATTGATACGACACGATACTAACAAAGTGTTGACTGTTTTTGATGTGGAATATCCGTTTGTAGATTTACATTTTTGTTTCGGTTTTTATACATTCTATTCAGAATAATGGAATGACGTTTTTGTTTTTTCAATTAATCGTAAAGTATGAGTCAAGACCAAATATTAGTTTTTTTTTTTAAATTCAAACACGCATAGATATATGCTTTTAATAAACCAGCGTAGGTGTTCAAAATATTAGCCACGTTTTGTCGGATTTAAGTTTCAATAAATGTAGAAGTCTGAACTTCAGAGTGAATTAAACATAGAGAACGGTGAGTCTATCGTATGCAAGCAGGTGGTCATAAAGTACCTCGGTCGGTAACGTTAGGGAGTTGCTTGGAGTTTTCATATACATTAACCGTTCAGGGGAACAAACGCAATTTGAGGTTGTCGCGTCTCATAACTTTCTAACGTAACGTATGATGCGTATCCTTTGTTATACGATTACGGAGTAATAATTTTTACGTGTAAATAATGGAAGATAGGAGTTTTTGTGGATTAAGTTTTCAAATTACGAAACTCTAAGCAGGCAGCGTCAGTAATGAATTCTTTATTCAATATAACACTCGTATATCTCTTAGTATTTTGGTGTATGTCACCTGCATTTTTCTAATGTCTTTTGACTTGACGTCCTTTTATCAAAAACAACGAAGTTCACTTTTATACTGTGATCCTTGTCTCATCCTTTCAAATTTGTTCAAAAGGAAAAAAATGTGAGATATAAGAAATTAAATATTAAACAATAAAAGTAAGGAGTCACGGCCTTGTAACAGTATTCATACGAGTCCTAAGTGAATAACAACGTTGACAAAACAAAATTGACAGGGGATTGCTCACAAGAATAATAAGGCTTAAATATTTTATAAGGGTTTGTGAGGTTGTGAGGGGTTGCGGGGAGATTCGCGGGGGAGTGGGGTGACGCGGGTGTTTAGGAAAAGTTTCGTACCTTCTGTGGCTCGCTTTCCGCTCAGGAAACAACGGGGAAATTGAGTTTCCTTGCATTTCATTTTACGGATGCCATCACAGGGGTACGTCATTGTCAAATCGATTGGAAAAAAAGCTAAGTAACCATTACAGGGACTAAGCGATTAGGGATTGGAAACAAATATTTAACAAATATGAAGAAGAAATAAGAAGGTATATTAATTCCTTTAAAAAATACGAAGTCCAGAGTACGTCTAAAGGTAACGTCCAAGTAAATCTTCAAGCTGAGATTGTAGGTTTTTAACCACATATTTGCAAATTTTATCTGGCGAGTTCACTTTTGTACAAGGCGTTTTTAGCCTCATATATGTATCCCTATAAAACTCTACTTTACAAATTCTCTTATCGATAATTTACCTGACTTCCCTAACACAGCAATATAATACAAGGTGTACCGTGACGTATCGGATACACGTTTCCTCCATTTCGGGTTGACGTTTATTGACTGCCCGCTAGTTGGGGGACAACCGGCTGTGATACAATGAATACGAATATAGATAAACCTGACCTAGTTATATTGAAAGTTAGCTAGATCTAAAGGAATATAAACTGTTTATAAATATGGTAGATATCTAGAGAAGGGCGCGAAACAACTATCGATGTTTTATTTACCACTTGAGGTGTCTAATTCGTATTAACAAAGAACACTTTAAAAATGTAGATATTTTCATTGTAACGTGTTCATCTAAATCATTCTTAGAACTGTTATACGAAAGTCATCGCTTAAGGCAAAGTCTTTGGCGGTGAAACCAAAAACTTAATAATCGTTATTAGAATCTTTGAATTCAGTAAAAGTTACAAGGCCAGCGATTTCTTGATGTGTTTAATCATATTAATTAACCGGAAAATTAGGAGAACGCTTCGACTGAGGAGATTTTAACGGAATTATCTGGGATTTATTAGTATTTTACGCAGAGGATTTAATGCTCTCGGAAAAGATTTCAATATTCTTTTATAAAGCTTGCTAATGATGTTTTTATAATGATTATAAAATGTTAAAAAGAAATGCTTGGAGTCTTTAGAAGTGAAAAGGTATAAGGTAATTGTAGTTGGCACATTTTTTTTTTCTTTTTATGAATTTTGTGGTTGTCTATAAATGATGCATGTTTAGGTTAAAATTTTTAAGTAAGATTCAACCACTATCAATACGAGCAATATCTATACGAGCTTTCGCCCTCGTCTCTATCCGCGTGGAATTAAAAAACCAAAAGTGAGTAGCCTATGTGTTGTTCCAGACTATCCTCTACATGTATAGTAAATTTCAATGAAATCCGTACAGCCGTGTACGCTACAAACTGTAATAAACATCCACTCGTCCATCTAATCTTTCGCATTTATAATATTAGTATGATTAACATGTTTTGCTTTCAATACTATAAAAAAAATAAAGATGACTATTATTACCCAACAGTACACACACTAATTAGTCGCAGCATGGAATTACTCCCACTTCTTGTCCGTATTCTGTGTGGTCGTGGTATTACAACAAGTGGGAGATTCGTGGTGTTGCGTTAGCGGATACTATCACTATTGTACCTGAGCAAGCTTGAGGCGGCAGCGGAAATATGAGCGTGGTGGAGGACTTGCGCCTGGCGACGGCGCAGCCCAGCGATTGTGGTTTGAAGCTGCGCAGTTGTTGCATAAAGTCGCTGCACTCCATGAGCGCGACGTCCGCGAAGTGTAGGTCGCACAGGATCTGATTCTTGAATCGACGAGCACGTTTCTGTTGACATACAATACGAGTACAATAAGTATCTTGCATACTTGGGTAACTCTTGATGCCTCCTATTTGACCTGTTAAGATTTGTTATGGCACTGATTCTTAATTTCTTTCTTCTTTTTCTACATAAAAGACGAATCTATTCTAATATTTTAAAGAGGAAAGATTTTATTTTTAAATTGTAGTATGTATTGAAATAACTCAAAAACTACAGGGCAGATTTCAATAATTCTTAGACCATAATAAAGCTATGTTTTTACTGTTTTTTTTTATTCCACGCGGACGAAGTCAGTTGTGATGTTTAGTGCGCTACTATCCTATTAGTGATGTATACCAGTTAAAAGTATAATTTTCTTCTTTGATAAGCATTATTATTAAAACTTTACAAGATATTTATATTCTACCAGAAAAATATTAGAACATTTTTTACAACAAAGTTCCGTGCCTTAGGGATCTATTCATTATTGTTTCCAAAAGTACTTCGGCATCAGAAAACTATATCTCAAGTTCTTTCGTTTTTCTTTTGTTATTAACCTGACTATTAGCTCGGACAAGATAAAAACGTTTTGAGATAATACTTTCACATTTAATAAAATTTTGAATACATTTGTCGCTGGATTTGTTTTTGACCGACTTCCCAAAAGAAGGAGGTATTCAATTCGTCGGTATATTTATTTTTTTTTTTTTTTTTTTTTTTTTTTTTTT